CTCACTGTGGGGTTAAAATTTATATCATGTCATTTAGAAAACTCAAGTTACGATCTCACAAGATATTGCTGGTGCATATCTCGACTCCAATAAGTATTATCATGGGATATTACTGGTACATGTTGCAATTACTAGGTTACCATGAACTAGCGATAAATTGCTGGATTCTCTAAACAAATCAGATCTCAATGCCTACAGATGGTAACGAAGGAACGTCACCAGGAGATCCCTGCATTTGGAACCTGCTTCTGCGACTAGCCAAAGACCATATTTGGAATAACATTGCAGCCTTTCTGGAATCCTGCATTCTAATCTGAACCCCACTGGCACTGTGGTCCATAACTGGTGTTCTTGATGCCACTGTTGGCATCTTGTCTGAGTTTTTGCTACTTCCAACACTCGAGATTTTTTTTCCAATTAGGGGAGAATGATGGAAAATGAAGCAAGATTTCTAGGATTAGTATTTTATAATCTAAGTTTTTATTATTTAGGAATTTTACTGTGTCCTTATTAGCAGATGGTGATTTTTATTGGGAATTTAGTCTATTTGGTATTTATTAGGGTTTTCCTGGTTTTGTTTCTTCTGTCCTTGTTGGATTTAGTTTCGTTTTTGGATTATGAATTTATTCGATTTCATATTCATTAAGCTTTTCTGTGGTTTTGTTTTTTCTGTTCAGATTAGGAGTAAGTTTTCTCATTTGGAATATCTTTGCTGCCTATATAAAGCATCCTAGCTAGTTGATCGATTTAATAAATAAAGATTGCCTCTCTTTATTTTGTTTTTTAAATCATTTGCTTGTACATTAATTAAATACTCATCTACAGAAGGCTTGCTTTTGTGAGGCAATATGTTTTCCCTCATTTTGAGGTGAAGTGTTTCGAAACTGAAACTACAATTATATAGATAGAAAACATTTTCACCTTCAGTGAGAGTAAAAAACACTTCTGAAAGGGAAGACTGTCTTTTTGAAGTCAAGGTGACGTTACAAACATGAGTATAGTAAACTTGCTTGCTGCTTAAAAATGGCAATTTAACATCTGGTGGTTCCTCTTTCAACAGTTTCTAAAGATCAAGCCAGATGTGTTTTATGTTTTTGATGCCTCTCATCTGCATTTAATATGTGTTAACTTTAATATGAGGGCATCCTTTATATTGACTCATGCTTCTTAGTTCAAGTTTTAAGAGAAACATTTATTCACTGTTCAAGATTTTTCTTTCAGAGGTGGAAATTCCTCCAATTATTTAAGTTGTTTGCTCTGTGTGCTAATGGCCAATGATTTAAGCAGCAGCAATTTTACTTTTGTTTCTTAGTTTTATGATTTTCTCCTGATTTCGTTTGATGACAAATCATGTATTCTACGTGGTAGGAAATTTCACCATGTATATTCTAAAGGTTTCATCTTATGTGGTGTTTTCAGGTTGCCCTTGCACAATCTTGTGCAAATGCCTCTCCAGGTCTTCAAGAGAGGGCTGCTGGAGCTCTCTGGGGATTGTCAGTGTCAGAAGCCAACAGGTAAATGTGGTGGTTCAAGTTTTGGATCTCATTTTATTTTGTGTATTATGGATTGATAGATATTACCTCATGTACCAAGGAAATATGTATGTGTTTTTGACTGCATGCTCCTCAACTGAAGCCTAACTGTATGGAAGTTTCCTCGCACTTGTGTATGGGGAATTCTTTAAACCAGATTGTTCTCTCTTTTTTGAGCAGTGAAAGGTAGAGGGATATCAGCTGCATCCAGCTGGTGGTGCACTGCACATTGTTTGAGAAAATGCATTTGTGATTAGCCTCATGATGTGTGATGATTATTTTGAGGATAGTAGGTTTTGCATTAGTAACTAAGTAAGAATGTTGAAAAGCATTGCTCCACACTAACACTAATTAGTCATTATAAAGACAGATATGCATGGCATCTCTGTATCAGCAAAATGATGCACATGTAGTTGTATAGCCGCAATCAAACTATTTTTGTATTTTATGCAGTTAGGCTGTACAAAGTGTGTTTATCTTCATTTCTATGTTGCAATTTCATGTTGTCCTTTTGTTTTGAATTCGTACTTCTGTAGACTAATAAACCTATATATTCTCAAATAAATGAAGGTTTTTTATTCTTCATTGTAGCCTTTATATTAATGTTAAATATATACTTGTTGGTTTACATTAGCATTGCTATTGGACAAGAAGGAGGTGTGGCACCTCTGATTGCTCTGGCACGCTCTGAGGCTGAGGTCAGTTTTTCAATCTCTTAATAGCCAATTTTTGAAATTTCTTATCATTATCAAGCATTTCTCCGACTATTTTGAAAATCGCTATCTATTTTTATGCAACTTTAACATTGTTGGCATATATAATCAAGTTCTCTACAGTCTGCAACTGCCTCAAACTTGCAAATTTCCTTTTGTTTACTGTTGTTAATAAAACTTGACAAAACCTTAATGCATGTTTTCTCTTCCAGGATGTTCATGAAACTGCTGCAGGAGCTCTCTGGAATCTTGCTTTTAATCCAGGTAATGCTCTTCGTATAGTGGAGGAAGGTGGGGTTCCTGCGCTTGTTGATCTATGTTCTTCATCAGTATCAAAAATGGCTCGCTTCATGGCTGCATTAGCATTGGCCTATATGTTTGATGGGAGGTACTTACACAATTTCCATTTTGGGTGCGTGAACAACGTATAATCATGCTCGCTAAATATTCCTGCCTTTCAGTTATTTTTTTTTTATGTTTTTTCTTGTCTTTTCTTATGCAGAATGGATGAATTTGCATTAATAGGAACTTCAACAGAGAGCACTTCAAAGAGCGTGAATTTAGATGGAGCTAGAAGGATGGCTTTGAAGCACATTGAGGCCTTTGTCCTTACATTTACTGATCCGCAAGCATTTGCCACTGCTGCTGCATCATCAGCTCCAGCAGCATTAGCACAAGTAACGGAGAGAGCTCGTATTCAAGAAGCAGGACATCTGCGATGCAGGTGCCTCTCTGTCTCATGCACTACATGTGTGGCTTACACGCTCCTAGTTATTACTGTTCCAAAAAAAATCATCTGCCCTAATTTGCAGCCTATTGTTGCATGAAGTAAGAACTATATAGACTGGTATTTCAATTTGCAGTTAGCCGCTTTATGATTAAACTTGCTTGTTAATGTAATTCAATTATGATTGCTATTGAATGAATGTATATAATGCTGATTTTGTGTGACATGTAAAATTCTATTCTTGAACTTGCATCCAATTTCATGGAGGTCTTCTCTCTTCAGCACCACTTGCATCCAATTTCCTGTAGGTCTTGTTTCTTCAGCACTAAGCCCATATCTTGGGCCCACACTTTATGAACCTTCTCTTTCCTAACGACTGGGCTGCTCAGATAGTGTCAATTGACCAGGCTACCCATCTCTTGTTACCCATAATTGTTCACCTGTGTCATGAATGATTTCAAATTTATAGCGCTGACTGGTTCTTTAATTTACCATGATAATGAATGTGGTTTGGCACCATTTTGTACAATAAATCTGAGCAAACTCTTTTCTTCTCCCTTTCTTCTTTTTGTGGCCTCAGTGGAGCTGAAATTGGAAGATTTGTTGCCATGCTACGGAATCCTTCTTCTATACTAAAGGCATGTGCTGCATTCGCTCTTCTCCAGGTAATCTTTCTCGCTGAGACTCTTAAAAATGCCAGTTCCAAGTTGTTTGAGTTCATTATCATTTATATCTTTCTACTGAATATTTGCATGGGTGAGTTCTTGTTTTCATGAATTTAAACCATCAATTACAGTTTACTATTCCTGGTGGACGGCATGCTTTGCACCATGCGAGTCTCATGCAGAGTGCTGGAGCTGCACGGGTCCTGCGAGCTGCAGCTGCTGCAGCAACTGCACCACTTGAAGCCAAAATCTTTGCAAGAATTGTGCTGCGCAATCTTGAGTACCACCATATAGAATCTTCAATATGAAAGCAGTCTTAGTTTAGCTGATGGAAGCTAACAGACATCAAGTTCCAAGCTTCCTTTCTTACCCGGTGGAATAGAATGCAGTCTGCTTAGTATAATTCTCTCTTTCCCTGCATTTTTTTAGGTATTTAGAGGTGGTTTAGTTGAGTTTCAGTGATTTTTGCCCCCCGATGTAACAATTCCTTGTAGTTATATTGTAAGCACTTTTGGCTGGGGTTTGATCTAGAAACAAGTACATAAACATTTTTTTCTCCTATAGTATTCATTGCGGCATATTTTCCATACATCGATGTTTGAACAGTTTGAGACTTGACGAGGCTTTGGTCAGTTCCCTTTCTTCTTGGGGTCCGTGGAAAATAACTGAGGAAAGTGCTATATAGTCTATTGGATTTTGGTCTATTGGATTTTGGTTTTCATGAACTTTTAAGAAAACTTATGCAAACAAGAATATCATTAAATTAAAATTAAAATAAAATTAATTTGTGTCACGAAATCACTGCTGCGAGTGGTATGGGTTTCAATAGGGCTTTTTCTGGTCATGAGATTTTTTCTTCTTCTGATTTTACCTTTTATAAGCTGTTTAATATTATTTTTATTATTTATTCTATCAGTTTTAGTTTTTATTGAAAAAACATAGCTCAAAAAATTATATTTTTTTGTTACAAATATATTAATAACAAAAATAAGAATTATACTAGAAAATTATTTTGATGGTATTTAAATTATTATTTTTCTTGTAAAATATAATTTTACCGTTGAATTTCATGCAGTGTGAGATATACAATACATCTAAATTTTTTCTTTTCGTAGGAGTGAGATTAGATATCTAAATTTGTTCTTTGGTTTCTTGACTTTCTAATGAGTCTTTAATTAGTATTAATAATATTTTTAGCCCACATTATTCTCTATTTGATTTATTAAACACAAGCATCAACTTTTTAATTTACAATGAAAAAGTTTTCAAGATAATTAAAAAACACACTACATCATCTAATATCTAACTCGGTGATTGCAAAAGATTGTGTAGTGCTTAAACTATCCGCGTGCGCGTACTCAGACGAATTCTGCAAATAATGACGTGGAAACCGAGGAAGTGTTCAATAGAATGATATACAAGAGAGTTTCAGGAACGGAAAAATGACCATAAATGGACAGATATTGCGCGAAGAATGAATTTATAGTTCTAGTGTATATTTTCCTTCTTCCTTTTGGCTTATTGTCGGGGCAATAAGAGTTCTGAATCTACTGCCGAATATCAAGTAAATGTTGATCGTCAGTGCGTCCAACCAGCTCCATGAAGTTGTTCTTGATTGTTGAAAACCATCTATCAGATGAAGATCCTTTTACAATCTGCAGACCCGGGGATGGTGCTTGTTCCTCCAAGTAAGGCAATATGTATTTCTTCATGTCAGTTTGCGAGATATCAAGATGCCCCCCAGACACGTTAATGAATTTAACTTTTCCAGCTTCATCCAATGTCTTCAAACCGATCCAGTCTTCAGTGTAGAGCAGAGTCTGCAAGGCGTAGACCAAGTTAAGAAATTTAAAAGCTAAAAATGACCATAATTGAATGACATGAAAGCTTGACCTCAGATTATCGCAGCAAAATCCAGATAATTGAAGATGCCTAACTTGAATTAGAGTATGCTTGTAGATCATTACCTCTTGCGCAGGTAAAACAGTATCAAAGGACCCATCTGGATAATATCCAAACCAGGAGGTTTCCTTCGGTACCAAAACTGTATCTTGCTCAAACTGATAATGATCACCAAGTTACAATGATTAGATTAAATCGAAAGAACGTTACAGAAGCACAACAGAGGTCAACTCGGTAACTCACCATGATAAGAACCAGGTTCTCTAAGCTAGCGAACCGTTCCTTGTATGTAGAATTTCTGGTATTCTTGATCTCATTGTTAAGTTTGGGGAGGAATCTACATCCTTTTAAGTAGGCAGGAATGTCCTGTAAGAAACAGATTTATCTCGCCATGACAATTAATTTAAGGTAAATAACAAGAATGAATAACTTGCATGGAAAATTGTATCTTGGCCTAGAAAAAACTTGATCATGTGACAATAGCACAAAACAAATTATTTGCAATTAGCTACTTCTTAATCCAATATAACTTTTCTTTTCTTTTCATACTGCTTCATATTTCTCTTAAATTTATTCACTAACTTATATCTTGCACCCCCACGAGGAGGAGCTGAGAACCTGTGTATATCACCATAGCTGAAGAACTAGACTCACTGTTGGGATTTTGATATAACCGCTGGGAGCCAAGTGTTCCTGCAATTTCATCAGAGATAAGTCAACATGCACTGAATGCCAAAAGATAGAATATATGAATGAGGGGCAATGAAATTATCTATCCTTCACAGGAATTGTCAGCTCCTAGGAAGTGATTTTGCTAAGAAAACTGTTCGCTTAGTATAAATTGCTTGTCGACACTTTAAACTACCATCTCAAAATAAGACACTCAAACCTGAACATAACTGCTGTAGATTTGCTAAGAAAACTGTTCGCTTGGTATAAATTGCTTGTTTTGTCCCATTGAACATGACACTTTAAACTACCATCTCAAAATACGACACTCAAACCTGAACATAACTGCTGTAGATCTCTGACTTGATCAAATTATCCAAAAGAACGCATACAATGGTGCACTGCAAAAGTCAGAGGCTCAGAGAATATCAAACTGAAGGCAACAGTAGCCCGTAATAATAAAAATCCACAACAATATCTCTAAGAACTACCACGGGTTTCAATTTCAGCACAATACACTGTCTTTAAAACCAGCAGGAATTGAAGCAATGAATTGAGACGCTTAGGCAACAGCACTTACTCCACAGAAAGGAATTGAAGCGATACCAGCATGGATACCTGCCAGCGTAATCAAATTCTTCACCTGTCCCCCACATGGGCAGCGATATTAAGCCAAGGCAACACAATAATAAGGGAATAAAAGGACATTGCGGTATAAGAAGGATATAGCAATATTTTCAGTTTCTTACAGGAGGCCCCCCATCACAAAATTCGATAACCCCTCGAGCAATCAAGCTACCCTGTGAAATAAAGGATGGCACAAAACATTAGTGTAAAAGTGTTTTTTTCTTGAAAATGCATCAAAATGAATTTCTTTTAGATTTTTATTTTTATTTTTTGATATAAACACATTAAAATCATCAGAAAACACAAAAATCTACTAATTTGATACCTTTTCATGCCAAATACACTTTTCAAATGCACCCAAACACAATCAAAACCACCAATGCAAATCAAAGAATAGAACGAGAAAGCTAGATGACAATTGAGATAACCATCAAAGGCAAGGCGACACATCAGAAAAGAAAAAACAACAAAAATTTAACAGATGCAGATATCCAAAACTCCATCACTCAACAAGTCAATCGTATATTGAATATAACTCCTGGGAAACTGAGAACATTTAAAAAAAGGTATCTGTGAGGGATGAAGCAACTCATAAGAAGGCAAAACTGTACAAAAACGAGATCAACTTATAAAATAGTGAAGACCTGTTACCAGTGCAATAACTTGATCAGTTCATGCCTTCATTGAAACAAACACAAATAAATAGAAAAACTAGGATCATTCTCCATGTATGCTCTTAATGGACAAAAGAATAACTTAAAAAAAAATGTTATAATTCTAAAATTGCTAACAGATAACTTATTCTTCAAAATTTAATTACCTGAGAAAGTCCAATTAAGTTGTAACCATCGCTCAGTTCACTCATACTCTTCACCTGAAAATTTCGTTGACAATCTAATTTTGAACAACTGAACTTCTAAGTGAAAAACCAATGACAAAAAAGCACGTAGCTTTAGCACCTTCTCACAAGCAATTTCCGTCTGCAACAAAAGTGAAAATAAATTTAGTTTTGGGATATGAAACTGTCAACAGTAAATGCTCCTCAAGCCATCAGTTCAGCCGTCACCTGATCTTGAAGGGGCATAGTCCAAGAATCCCATGCTCCATCTCCAATTTCTCTGAAGAGAAGAAGGGGAATCAAACGATTACATACAGGCTGTTGATCAGACATAAAGTGATTTTGAGTGGAAGTAGATCACCAAATATATAGAGAAATGACCATTGCTGTTATGACTAGCAAAACAATCCACAAATTAAATCATACATGCAATGTCCTTGAATGCCTGACCACTTGCTTAAAAGCTCAGTGAACTGTTTGACTCCCTTATTACTGCATTTGTCACTAATACCTAACACAAAACATACACAAAAAATATCATCATTTTACGATAAGTTTGATGCACATGGCAACAACTATGATGGAGAGTAAAATAAAAATATTATTTTAGCTTCACTTAACAGTTTAAACTTTTTAATTAAGATAATTATTTCACATGTTGTCAAAGCATAATCAAACAACTATAAGTTCATATTTCATCACCCCTTCTAACTAATAAAGTTAAGTAGAAGGTAACACTCTGTTTCACGCTCAAATACCTTCACCCGAGAAAATGTGTGGAAAAAAAAACCGCTATTTGTGTAGAGGAGTCGATTTGATTAGAAATTCGGAAAAGTGGAGCTGGATATACTGAAAGAGAGCAATATTTTACAGGTCTAACAGTTAAACCAAATCAAAGTTTTGTATGAACTATGAAGGCACGTACTCAACAAATTTTAGCTCTCAAAGACTACATTATGTAATGTTTAACTTAATGAAAATTAATAAAACCCCAAGTTTTCTCTCACTTGCAAAATCATGTCATGTTTAACTTAATGAAAATCAATAAAACCCCAAGTTTTCTCTCACTTGCAAAGAATTACTAAACGAATGCAATAAATTTATGAGCCTTTCTGTCCTAATCACTCAGTCTACTAATACACAAACACAAAGAAGCCAATATAACAACAAACAATCAAAAACTAAACATGCAGTAAATACTCAATTGAGTAAAGATTTTCCAGTTTCCTAAATCCCAAGAAAATGAAAATGAAAATCCAAGAATAACTAAAATGATAAGCATGGCCTTTATCAGTTGTTAGCCATAAGAAAATAAAAATGAATAACTGACTTTCATCAACAGAAACAAGAAAAACTACAGCTTTCAAAGAAAATGACCACCAGCCTAAAAAAACTAAAAAACTAAAAAACTTACCATGAAAAACTACGAAGGGAACAGAGTGTGTAAACGGGACAGAAGTAAACATCAATGTAATGATCATAAAGGCTGTTGCCTTAACGAATAGGGAAAAACCCATGGTTGTTTTTTTCTTTCCCTAAGACAATAAAATAGAGGTGGCAAGAGAGGAGGGGTTTTGGGAGATAAAGTAAAGATACAAGGCTCAACTACTTACAAATAATATACAGCACGCTTGAAAGAAAGGGAGACTGCTAGATATGGCTTCGGTTAGCTTGGCAGAACGGGGACAAAGCGCCATCTACCATTCTTATCTTAAGAGTTCGTTCAATGGCGCTGTTTTGAGTTTAACCGCTGCCCTTTGACACTTTGACAATTAGCTAGAGACAAGGACTTTGTTACTCTTTGTTAGATACGATCGCAATTTCTAGTCAGTCTCAGAGATAGCTTTTGTGTAAGAAATAATAATTAAAAAAAAACCGAGGCGGATTTTAGAGTCGATAATTTGATTTTTTAACAAAAATTGTCAAACTATGAGATGAAGTTATAATTAACTGTGTGTAGTTATGTCTGGTGATGCATAGATTTGGCAGACAATGGTTCGGTGTCCCTAACTAGGCGCAACCCATTACATTTGTCAGTCACATGAGCATAATAAATGGTCTTGACAAATTTTTCCATCAAGAAAGAACCAGCACCGAACAGCACTTTGAGGTCAAAACCTAATTTTAAAAGTAATTGAAACATCAACGCTCCAACTACCCTTCAATTGTGTATTTAAATATGATATCTTTATATTTTAATTTATCCCTTTCCTTTCATTGTTTCTAGACTATTAAGTATTTATCAGTTCAGTTATTTATATACATCTTAATTAATTTTTAAAAATTTTAAATTTAATAACTAAATAAATTTTTAGTAATTCTAAAATTTATAATACTTAAACTAGTAATTTATAAAAATTAAAATTAAAATTTAACCAATTAAACAATTCTTGTAAGAGATTATATTATATATTTTCGTGATAGTTTTAAAAAAATTTATGTTTTTTAAAAAATAAATTTAAAAAAATAAAAAAAATATTATTTTAATTATAAAATATTTTAAAAAACAATCAAATCTAATCTCTCGTCCTGCTATCGTTTTGCGGCAGAACTGTCTTCTCCCAAATGTCCGCTCTTGGGATGTTCCTTGTTGTACCACCTGGCAAGGAGGAGCTGGATATCTCGAAGCAGAAGCTCCAAACAGGCCAAACTTTAGTTAATTACAACTTGGTCACTATAGTTTATAGATACTAATTAATTAATATACATAGTATCAGAAATAATTAAATTGTCCTTTAATTAGTGTTTAACTAAGGTTAATCATAGTAGCCCCCCCACCCCCCCAAAAAAAAAAAAATACTTCTTTTCACATCAAATCTCCAAATCTTATCAAGTTCTAGCTGTTCCTTTTCTATTTCTTAAAAAAGGGAAAAATTGTAAGAGATCAGGGGTTAATGAAATGACTGAATTATAAACATATTTGAAAATATAGGAATTGAATATATAACTTCTAGAACCATGAGCACTAATTAATTACTTTTTGTTAAACTACAAGGACTAGGTTATAATTTACTCGGCAAAAATTGATATTCCCTTTCCCATCCCTAGTTTGCAGACTGCCTCGACAGCCTGAACATCTAACAAGGATACGAGGAGTTCTTCTTGAATCAAAATAATTACACAAATGACAAGTAATATCACGGTAAATGTACGGTATAAACTAGAGAAGGAATTCCCAGTTTGACACAGACTATCGCCTTGGTCTTCATAACCAGTCTTTCTGAACAGTAATGCCATATCAAGAGACATCATCTTCTTTTAATTCCAAACTCTGTACAGCTTCCATACATCCCCCGAACAGTGCACTGGTATAGAATGGCACGGCTAAACGGAGAAATAGCTGCTGAAATGTCGCAATCTGCTCTCCATTGCAGACATGAGACACTGGTCTCATAAACGGTGTTACCCTCCTCTAGATTTGTTCAAAATGTTATGTCGCAATCTGCTCTCCATTGCAGACATGAGACATTGGTCTCATAAACGGTGTTACCCTCCTCTAGATTTGTTCAAAATGTTATGTCGCAATCTGCTCTCCATTGCAGACATGAGACATTGGTCTCATAAACGGTGTTACCCTCCTCTAGATTTGTTCAAAATGTTCCAAAGAACAAAATATGGACATAACAGGGGTTGATGACAGAGCCCTATAATGAAAACAACCAGCCCATTACATACACTTAAATTGCCCGTTGGATTCTCTGATCATGCTCAAAGCACGCGTACGTGTTCATGCGTTCACTGCAAAAATGCATTTTTGTTGGTGTAGCGAGTCATTCTTAAAAAATCTAAATGTACGGTATCTCTATTTTTATTTTTTTTATTTTTTAATTTAGAGTTGGAGACGTCGTCTTTTTGCAAATTCTCAGAGGACGCTGATCTCCTTGGCCTGCACTTGAAAACGGCCTTATCACATCTGTTTCTTCCCCCCAATACATGAAAGAATCCACCAGTAAGAAAGTCACTCCTGGAACTTGCCTCGGTTATGGAGTTTGAGTGCCCACACCACCCGTCATGTGGATACACAATTGCCCTATGACAGACTCTATAACATCCGATTGTGGGTGAGCTAAACCCTAGATATGAACTTTGAAATTCTATAGCACTGCTACCAACCTCCTCCTTCGCCCCACTTCTTCTCATCAGTCCCTTGATTTCATTCACATCTTTCCATCGTTCCCATCATAGCGGCGTACAAGTTTCTCATCATGGAATAGTCTCTGTATATCGTTATATGGCTCCACATGGACAGCCTGGTTTAGTTCTCTCTGCGCTCTAGTACCATCCTTGGAGAATGCACAGGCAAATAGAAAAGAACTCAGAATTATTCCATTAGCCTCAAAGGCATACTTCTAATCAAATTCTCAGCTTCCTCCAAGCACCCTGCTCTCCCTAATAAATAAACGAGGCATCCATAATCCTCACTTTTTGGGGTCAGCCCAAATTCGACCATGGCAACAAGCAGAGAAAACACCAATCATGTTTGTGTCATTTGGCCCATTTCCCTCCTGTTGCATCTCCGAAAATGCCTTCAGTGCTTCAATAGCATGCCCATTCACTGCAATCCATTTATCGAAGCATTCCAAGTAGCCGTTTCCTTTTTAGGCATCTCGCCGAAAACTCTTCTTGCTTTTGATATTTCTCCACATTATGCACACACATCGACAAGTGACTGCTCTATCAAGTTTCTCCCTCCAAAAAAAAATGATGTACCGCTTCATCCAATTCCAAAGCACCCAAACTCTTCTGGTTCATACACGGTGCTTGAATGCAACTCATGAAATAATTTTTAAGGATCATGGAGCTGATTAATTTGACTATATCCACCAATCATCGCATTCCAAGAGACCAAGCTCTTCTCTGGCTTAGCATCAAACAAACCCTAGCAGATAAAACATCACCATTATTGGAATACCCATCAATCATACTAAATCACATTCCCTTCCCGCATCTCATCAAACAAACTTCTCGCAGAATCCATATCCCCTACTTCAACATATCCACCAATCACCAGATTATATGCAGCAGAATCTCTCTCGGGCATCAGCTTAAAATAACCCATGCACTGTCCATTCACACACCCGCCAAAGAAAATAACAATGTAAAAGGGCGAAAAAAAACAATAACGAGCACATCCGGATGCATTTCGGATAATCTCATAGAAAAATTAAATAAAATTATCAAATTTGATTATAATATATATATATATATATATTAGAATCAGAAAAAAATAAAAAATATCTAAATCAACTTGAATTAACTTATTAAACTTACAATTAAGATAATCCCATATAAAAAAATTAAACTAATAATAATTTTCAATAAATTAAATATTAAAAATTAAAATTTAAAAAAAAACCAAAATTAATTTGTTTTAATCTTTAAAATTTATGACTCTATTCATGAGCTTAGATTAATATCATAGAAAAAAAACTCTAATAAATAACAAAACAAAATTTTAAATTATCAAAATATCCAAGAATAAAAATTTTAAAAAAATACAAAGAAAAAGAGGGATTCAAAATTAAAAAAAAAACTAACAATTAAAAAAATAAAAATTAAATTTAATATAAAAAATAATTTAAAATCAAATATTGAAAGATGAAATTGAAAACAAAATTTAATTAGAAAAAAAATTAAAACAATCAAATATCAATCACAAGAATAAAGATTAAATTTAATAAAAATTAAATAATGAGAATAAAAATTAAATAAAAAATAAATTAAAAAATAAAAAATAAAATTATAATTAAATGACACATTTATATTTATATTTTAATTAATAAAAAAAATTCATTAGAGCTTGACCATTACCCCACCGTTGGTAAGAGCAGCACCAATGAAAAGAGAATGGTGAGGCATTTCCAACGCCACCCCAATAAACAACATTTGGTGGTGGGGCCATTCGGAGTGCTGAATAATTATTTTTAAAAAGTTATTTTATTTAAAAAATAAAATCATTCTTTTTAACTTTTTAATTAAAAAAATAAAAAAAAATAAAAAGAGATATTTTTATAACTTCAACATTTTTTTTAATGTGAAAGTAGTGTAATTTTTACATTGTGCTTGTAAAACGTAAAAAAACCTGAATTGTCTGGTATAAAAATATTTGATAATGTGATTGTAGTTAGTTTTTCTAAAAAGTTTTAATTAAAAAATATATTAAAATAATATTTTTTATTTTTTAAAAAATTATTTTTAATATTAATATATCAAAATAAATTGAAAACATTAAAAAAATTAATTTAAAATAAAAAAAAATATTTTTCAAAAAGATGGTCACTTGTTTTTTCAACATTCCAAACTCCAAAGGGCGTCTACATCAATCCTCCAAAACAAGATAAATACTAATCTTGAAGTCACCCATGCCCAATGTTGGAGGCCATTTCTTTGTTTGTAATGAAGCCATTCTTCTTTCCCTGCGATCAGTATTATACATATACTAATTCTATTTTTTTCAATAGTTTTTTCTAAAAAAACAAAAGTATTAATATTAAATATATTAAAATACAAGTAGATTATTAAAATGAATTTTTCCAATAAATTGAAAATAAATAAAGAGTCATCTTTATGTCATGCAAAAACACCATATCAACTACTTGACTCTTTTAAAAAGCTTTTATTATTTGGAGAAGCCCTTACACTATAAACATGTCACCGTTTCTTTTACTCTGCTCATAGGCTCATGCGCAAAAAACTGTTTTAACACAAGAAACACTTTTCTCCATAATTTATGTTTATTTTTAATATTATATATTTAAATAAAAATTAATTTAAAAAAAATTAAAATCAATAAGACTTATGACTCTAATTATGAATTAGGTAATTTAACCTGAGTTAAACCGAATGAATTCAAATTAGTTGTTTCAAAAAAAAATTAAAATCAATGTCATTTTGAATGTTTTTTTAGAAGAAAAAAGTCTAACTGGATTTATACCTAATCATTCATATCATAGATACACTTTTCAAATTGCTTAGATCATTAGATTATATCAGGTAAATTTCCGCCTCATTAATTTTGAAAACTAACCGGGCTAGAGATGATGTCAATGGATCAACATGTTAATTCACCGGGCTAGATGAGTTTTAATAACACTATAAACAATTTCTCCACGGAAAAGCGTGAAGCAACTAACTGGTTATCATCTAATCCAACAAGTAGCAGTTCACAGTTTGCGGCAGTCATGGCGTCACCTAGAACATGCAGATTATGGAAATATTCAACGGACATCCATATCTTCAATTATTTCAAAGTGCATTTGCAGACTAGGAGGCCTGTCACCAAAATAAAATTTCTCACACACCTGCAATTTCCCTCCACTTCTGCGAGATTCAGATTCAAGCAGATGAACTAGTTTGTCCTTTTCATTACGTATCAGAACTCGGTTGCTATCACACCATTGCCTAGGAGTTCCATGGAGAACAAAACGAATTCCGGGAGCGCCTTGCATAAGACGTTTGGATATCCTCTCAATCACATCGTGATTGGTGATATAAGCACCGGCAGAGTTTAAACCAACATCCAGATAATGGATCTCCGAAATGCTGTTTAAAAGCCATTCTTTAGTAGTCGGAATGATTTGAATATCTTCTTCAACATTCGAAGATTCTCCACTGGCTGGCTGTGGTTTCATATGAGATTTTACTTCTAACGAGCCTAGCTCGGCAACTAGCTGGTTAAGCACGGTGCCACCCTTGCTAAATCCAAGGATGTATGTTTTCGGCTGATTAAATGATACGCTATCTGTCGAAGATTCTTGCTGTCTTCTCGGAATCACTTTCTTAGCCTGCAAAAATACAAATTCAGGATATTGACTAACATCAATAATTATTACTCGCTTGCAAGAATACACTGCAAGACCAAAGCAACCATGGATTCTCAAAGCAGTAAACCAGGGAAAAAAAAAGTAACAAGTTGATTTATGCCAGAATAATACAATAATTTACCACCATATCTACACACTTGTGAATTTCTAACAGACTGCAAAATCAACATATTATGGCATACAAGAAACTGCAAGTAGGTGGGGGGAAAAGAAACTTTCGCGTCAGCTTCTTAGCTATCCTCAATACACCATATGGAGCTTGAATTATTGATATGACAATAAAACATACCTCTTTCAGGCAATTCAGTAAGACCGAGACGGTTGAGTTGGAAGCTGGGAATCCGACTGGATTATAGGATTTTGGCTCCCCATATCGATTCACAGATGGAATAAAATCTTTATAAACGGCAAAATGCCCGTTAAAAACAGGAGCCTCAATAACATATGCATTAACACAACCACCAAATTTAGACACCAAAATTTGAGATATTTTTTGCAAATCAGACAATCTCTCAATCACTGGATTCTTGGTCCCTTCAGCTCTATCACCATTGAAAAAAATTGCATTTGCAGAAGGTACCTGGGCTTCAAGTAAATTAAAATAATTCAATTTTTATTTTTTAAATTCTTCATAGTGGAAATAGAAAAGGAACTTACAGCAAGGGTATTGGAAGCAGCAGAGAGGCAGAGAGATACTGCAACTCTGCAGTGACTTGTGCTGCTAGGTGCCAATGGGACCTTCAAAACACCAGTCCAACAGTCCATTGATGATTCAGCTGTTCAAGAGAAAACAACAAATCACACACACGAAAAGAACGAAAAAGGTTTCAGCTGAGAATTTTAACAGACATGTGATGGGCGCTACGATTACAGGAGCGACATTTGCTGGAAAGAGGGTGGTTAAAAAAGAGAGGGTCATGGTCTTGAAAGGGTCTATTTGTTAATTAGGCCTGCGTGTTTTGTTTTTCTTTCGGTCCAGGCAATTAAGTAGGCCCGTTGAGTTTATTTTGATGGGCTTAGGATCCCATAATAATAAACGTCTTCAAAAAGAAATTTAGGGTTGGATTTGCTAATCTGGGCTTACCACACTTTATGGTCTTTCCACAAAAAACTGGAGGCCCTTTTCTCTGAATAATGTTGGCATGCAACCAACAATTGTATTTGAAAAGGATGAACTTTTACCAGCGAGAAGTTCAGATACAAACTGCCCGGTCCATGCGAATGTACTTGGCTTGATTAAAAGGAATTTTACATTGTTTCTTAGTTCTTACATAACGTATGTAGTTTAGTTTAAAACTAATTGTTGACCATGCTCTGGTTGTTGCTTGGGTAGAAAAGGTTAAAAACATATTTAGACCGTTAAATCTTTTTAATATTATTAATAAACTTGATATAACAATTAAAATTAAAAAATCTTGACCCGACTGTTTGTTATTTAACCAAAATTTTAAATTAAATCTAATGAAAGTTATTTCAATATGACCTTGTTAATTGAATAAGTCTTGAGAAAAAAACCAAAGAAAAAAATAAATAGGTTGGGTTCCTTCTAATAAACTCGTAAAACTTGTGACTCGGTTTTTTATTTTATTATAGGATAAAAAATACAAAAAATAATTCACAATAAACCTAATAATAAATAAAAAAATTCAATAAAAAAACCTAACATTAAAAAATAAAATTAAAAAAAAAAGAATGACCAATAAAAAAAAGCTATGAGATTGTTAAAAAAACCAAACGCATGGGCTAGAGGGAAGCCCATGGACCTAGGCCAATTTATATATATATATATAGGGTGGACGAACCCTTTTTTTTAAAAAAAAATACACAGACAACAAGTTATTTATTATCTATAAATCAAAAACAAATTTACTTCTACTCTAAATCAAACCAGCAACAACAACATTACCCCCACACATTAACCATCGAGCTAAAACATAAATTCGTTAACTAAACAACTAAAAAATATATTAGCTTAGTTCATTGTTCATATGACCAACCAGCTGACCTCATGTCTTTTAGTTGTATTTATACATCTAATATGTGTGTTTGCTTACTTAATAATTTTTGCAATCAAGGTTAGAATTCACTTCTTTAGTGATTGTTTATTGTTATACACACACACACATTTGTGTTAGCCAAAACAATTAGACCTCTGTTTTTTCTCTTTTTTATTTTTTTTCTTATCTAGTTGACAAAAAAATTAGTAAACATGAATATATAAATTCCAAATATTCAAATGGTCATTTAACATGATTTATAAAAAAAAATTAAACCTTATTGATTAACAAACACAGCCAATCAAGGGTTGTTCTCTTTAATTTCCTATCACTATCATCATCTTTCATAGATCCCTATTAGTAGCTCACAAATAAGAGCTCTCACTGAAGTTATTCCTCCTACCCAACAACAACTTAAAGCTCTTACCTTACCACCACAAATAATACAACCACTTGTTCCACTATAAGTGCACAGACAAATTCATTTTCTAAAAGGAATTAAATAAAATGACATGCAAGAGAGTAGATGAGAGTACCACTTCACCTTTATTATGCCAAGGATTCGGTCTCACTATCATAGTGAGCATTCACAAATAAAGTTGTTCAAATATAATTTTAATAAATCAAACAAAAAGGTTGTACCTAGTTATAGCCACAAGCAACGCTATCCGCATCATTCTCTTTTATAATTTTACTTGAGTGATCATAAACATAAAAGACCATGATGAGAGGAGAACAAAAACAATGCTCACCAAATAAAAGATTTTTTATTTTGACATGATGTATTAATCACTTGTCTTTTCAAGGAATTTTTTCCTACGAAGACAAACCTTAATAATTATGATGGTTTCACTAACTTTAGACAACATCTATATAATGTCAAAAGCAATCTTGAATTGGTGATTCAAGTTAGCAATATAATATGCAAAATCCTCCTCATAATGTTTTATGGATCTGTATAAGCCATATACCATAGTTTATAATCTAATTTTATACTTAACTTTTCTAATTTATGAAACAAGTTGATTGTTTATTTTAGCATGAACTGCCAGAAATAGCTCAACTAAGCTCTTTACAAGTACTCAAAAAGAAGGAGAAAGTACTAGAGCATATCTAAAGATATTTAATAAGAAGATGCTCAAAGTATAATGCTTGTTTAAGCTTGTGGCTACAAAGACCCTGATAAGTGGAGTTAATCCTAGTTTGAAAGACTATATACACTCTTGAATAGAACTCTCCTCAAAGTCAAGCAGGTTATGAAAAACCATATAAGAATACAAGAAGCAATTATGGCAAGACATGAACATTTATATTTTCACAAACATAAAGAATAATCTTCAAAACACATACAAACAACTTTGTGTGACTCTCATACATTCAGAAAAACCCTCAATTATAAGGGACCAATACAAAACATTTTTATATACCCTGAATTGATGACAACTTCTATAAATAGTACTAAGATTGTAGTGTGGACAACTATTAAAGGCAAAAAGTTTTTGTAGCATCCACCATCAATAAAAAGATATGTTAGTAGCACAATTTACATAAAACAATTTATATAAAGATAAGGATCATAATATAGAGGAATGTTGTGCTTTAAAAAAAATAAAAATAGAGAGACTCATTGCTAAGGGTTATCTCTAAAAAATTATCAAGAAAGGAGTATAGTATCCCTCGAGATATTTATTAATGCATCATATCTAATAGACTTTAAGGTGGCTCTATCTTCAGGGGAATCCATTCTATAGTGCATCTCCTAGGGCTAAGAGGCTTTATCTCTAACGATGTTCATAATGATAAAAATAGTGTTGACAAGTTTTATTTTGTACATTATACAAGTCTATGGCTCTTGTTTGGAAGTTGACACCACCTCATATGTTATATCACAAAATAAAATAATAGCTAGGAGCACTAACAATCAACGAATCAAGTATCTTTATTCTTAGCCAACTTTCCGTGATCTAAGTGGTTTTTTGTTAAATATCTCTTGGTCTAAAAGGCACTTTATAAGGCCAAACAATCTATTTTGTGGTTTTGTGTGAATTTAAATAATTTTAGATTGAGTTAAAAATTATAAAATAAATTGAAACAGTGTTTGTTAAAGGCAGTCAAAAATATTCCTAAGTGTAACCTACCTTATCTAATTTAATACTATTACATGATATAAAGCTTAAAGGAGTAACATAAAGTCTCATATCATAAGTTACACACTTCTCATGTTTCTGTAGAGATTTGGTTATTATACTATGAATATATTTTTCAAGAAAATTGGTTGAACCACAACCCTGGTGTTTCTTAAATCTTTTATATACTTGTTTTGTTTGATTACAAATTAACACATACTAATTAAGCTTTTTAAAACATTGTTCACATAGTGTGAAAATATTGTTCATTGAAATAATATAATGCTAATTTTGCACTTCATATAAAAAATCTTAATATTTGCTATTGAGGGCATTAAGATTTTTTCATAAGGCATATTGATCATTACCAAATTAACCAGGGGAAAATAAGTCTTTTTATATTTTAAAAGTGTTAGTTTAATATGTCTTATAACCAATTGATTGGTTATACGTGACATTATTATATTTATGTAAATACATATTTATTATTAATAAAGACTTAATTTATCTTTAATATTCATATAATATTAGATTAACGAATTTAGAGTAAAGATAAAGTCCATAAAACAAAAATACTTTGCAAAAAAAATTATAAAATTGTTATAATAATGAGATTTCTATTATATCAAAATATTATTTCTAAAATATTCATAGTCGATGCTCTCTTGAATACTAGACATTCATTAGAGCCGTAAAGACTGGTACATATAATGCTTTTTCTTTTATGAAAGGAAACAACTGTTTTCATTAACTGAGATATAAGAGAAACCTAAAACTAATATGAAAGTGTTTATTATAAGACATGTATATTAAATTGTCCCGCATAAGAGTTTTATATGGAGAAATCACTTATATCTATAGAAAGGCTCACGCGATGGTTGTATAAATAATTGTTAGATTTGAGATCACTAAGTTATCTTATATAGAGAATGTTATATTTTAATCTCATTACATGTTATCTTGATAGAGGTAATAAAAGGGCAAGTATTGGGTGTAGCATAAACTATATGAAGATATTTAAATGATTAAGAGAGAATCCATTATCCTATATGAATTAGAAAAGATATTTTATTTATTTTCAAATAGTATTGACTAAGAAATTCTTGATTAAAGTAGAATGAGATTTGAAAAGGTTTCAAATCTTATTCAAATGATCAATGACTATTATGTATAGAGGAAATATAATTTAAAATGACAGACATATTCTATGCTTTAATGTTAAATTAGAACATTATTGATGAAAAAAATATTAATATTAATTACATTGAGAAACCGATCACTGAAATGTTAAGTCAAAACACTAATAATTTTTTTTAATATTTGAAGGATCATGATACGTTGCTAAAGGATATACTTGACCTTCAAATACAAATTAATCAATTGTTAAATTAATAATAAATTAAATTATTTAATTTATGTAATTCTATTTAGTTATAATTTATATTTGGGCTAACATATTAGGAACCTAATAGATCACACATATTAAAGATTATTAATCATAAATTAAACTAAGATGATTTAATTAAGTATGACTTGATTAAAATATATTTTAAAAATTAAGGACTAGATTATAATTAATACAATGATTATATTTCTAGACCTAGAAAAATCAAGTAAGGATTTTATTGATTAAATTTTTAAAATTATGCTGAATTAATATATTGATATTATTCAGGAGGTAAATTGATATTTTACCAATGTATAGAGTTTTTCATATTTCTTTGTAAATAGTAAGCTATGATTATATTTCTGATTATAAACTAAGATGATTTAATTAAGTATGACTTGATTAAAATATATTTTAAAAATTAAGGACTAG